GCGGGTTGCAGACGATCACGTGCGCGGGGGCTGAGGGCTCCGGCCTGCGGGCAGCTGCGGGGGGTATGCGATAGATGACCATTGCCTTTACTGTCTTCGCCAGCCCCTGCAGCTGCGGGCTGCGAGGTGGACGCGCGGTCGGGGCCGCGAGCTGAAGCTGCAGGTACATCTGGCTGTCACGGGGCCGCGTCGTGGGGCGGCCCGGCCTCTAGCGGGCGAATCCTGGGAGCCGGGTCTGACCCTCATCCTCGCCACCAGATCCCGTGGACTCCCGAAATGTTGACCTTTCACTGCGCGGCCTCACCCTAACATTTTAGTCCCCGAACCTAACACCTCCCTTAACCCCCTCACCTCCGATCTAACCTTTTAACAGGGACCACGGCCAACCAACCGCATCTGGGCCCAGCACCATTCTCCCCGCTCCAGCCACTACTCCCCCCCTCTCCCCCGCTTCCTCCATGGAAGCCGCTATTGCTTCCCGTGAACTTAAGCGAAATAGGACTAGTCAGTGAGCAAAGACTTAAAATAAAGAAGAAATACAAGTAACTAATATGCATGAGAAAAGTTAACTTCAGAGATAAGTAGTTGCAAAGGAAAGATATCTCGAACACATATTTATTTTTTAAGTGTTTTTATTGATTTTAGACAGAAAGGGAGAGAGAGTGAGGTGGGGGAGAGAGAGAAGGAAAAAAGAAAGAAAAAACCATCATTGATTGGTTGCCTCCAGTGCGCACCCTGACCGAGGATCACATCTACAACCTAAGTATGTGCCCTGACCAGGAATTGAACCTGCGACCTTTTGGTCCACAGGAAGTTTAAATAACAGCCACCCTGGTCAGGGCTCTTGAACATTATTTTTTAAAAATATTTGTTTATTGATTTCATAGAGGAACGGAGAAGGAGAGAGATAGAAACATCAATAATGAGAAAGAGTCATTGATTGGCTGCCTCTTGCACTGAGGATCAAGCTGGTAATCCTGACCTGGAATCCAACCATGACGACCTGGTTCATAGCTCCACACAGTCACTGAGCCACACCAGCGGGGCCTCTTGAACATTTTAAATACATATATATGTATATGCATGTATATATGTATATTGATTTCAGAGAGGAAGGTAGAGGTAGAGATAGAAACCTCAATGATGAGAGAGAATCATTGATCAGCTGCCTCCTGCAGGCCCCCTACTGGGGATCGAGCCCGCTACCTGGGCAAGTGCCCTTGATTGGAATCGGACCCGGGACCTTTCAGTCCTCAGGCCGATGCTCTATCCACTGAGCCAAACCAGCTGGGGTGGATAAATATTTCTTAAGTGACCCTATTGGAATTGTAGTGGTACAACACACACAAGATGCTCTTCTGGTAGAAATTAAAATAAAACTTGAGGCATGAACTTAAGCTAAGCTTTGTCTAGATATGTAATATGATTCTGTATCTAATTATAATTTAGTGCGATTTTGGGAGCATAACAAAAATTGTTATTAAAACAAAACAAACTATTAACAAGGATTGTCCAACCTGGAGAAGAATTAGCTCAGGAGCCTTTGGTATCCTGAATGGGAAAGGTTCTTGGATAGTGTGAGCTCCTCTTCCCTGTCTCTATAGAGGACGCCTAAAGCAAAACATGGAACAGATTTCCCACGTGGTGTCCAGGGAACAAGAGCGCAGCTCATTCATGCCTCAGACAAGATGCAAAATCGCACGAGTAGAGAAGAGACTAGTGAACTTCTCTCTTTCTCCGCCCACTTTGTCTTCGCATCATTTATAGAAAAGAACCCAACAGAAGTAGGTGGCTCTTTTGTGGGTACTTTGGCAAAGTTACATGTGTTTGGAAAATACTAAGTCACGGTGTAAGCTATAAGAATGAGGATAAACAAACATGTGATATATCCAGACAGTGCATACTACTCAGCAAGAAGAAGGAACAAACTAATGATACACACCACAAACAACATGGCAGCATCCCAGAAACACGCTGTGTAAACGGATTACACAAAAGAGCACACACTTCCTGGGCACGTCCTGGGGTGAAGGTGCCTTTCTGTACATTGATGGGGTTTGGGTTACACAGGTGTATACAAATGTGTAAGATTTGTGCATTTCATTGTATGTACATTTTACACCAATTATTGAACTCTAGTTAGTGATACCACGGTGCATTATTTAAGGGGAAATGTTTTGGTGATTGCACTTTACTTCAAAATTCATAAATGAGACTGGTGAACGGATGGGTCAAATAAGAATAAGTACAGTAAAATGTCAGTGGTGGAATCCAGCTGGTGGGAGTTCACTATACAGTGCTTTCCACTTTGTTGTATGTGTTCATCCTAAAATATTGGTGAAAAGATTAAACTTTTATTTCCTAAGGTTACATGGTATTTAAGAATATGATATTTTAAAATTTCTTTTTGTTATAGGTTGATAGTTTGCTTTCTGAGAGTCAATTGAAAGGAACTCTAGAAACCAGTAAAAGGCGAGATATTTACCAAAGGTAAAGCATACTCAATGTTAAAAGCTTTCCAAGAACTGTTCTCGCATTGCAATGAGCTGTGTTTACAGAATTGAACCTGTTTACAGCATTATTTCTTTCTGTTTTTATTAGTACAATGAAAAAAACTGATAATGAGAAATATTGAGGTAACAATGAAATTTTTCAAAATGTATTTAAAAAGATTTCTTGCAATTACCTAGATCTATCAGGTCTAAATATTGGAATGATAAGATTAAATTGAGAATTACAAATCTTAAAAAGAGGTAACTTAATTTATTTTGTATTCTGCATGTACCAAGCAGTGTGGTCTACACTCTGAAAACTATTCCTGATTAATTCTCACAATACACCAGGAGAAAATTGAGGTTCACAGTGGTTCATTAACTTCTCTAACATTACTTTGCTCTGAGACATTAGAGTGAAGGGGCAATAAAAATACCTTAAGTTTGCTGAGAAACGCAGGGTTCAGTGAAGCAAGAGGAAGAGCATTGCTGAAATTGCCCTGGAGACGCAGGCTTTGGCCCGTTTGAATCCAGTGGAGGAATTACATGGTGGCCTCATTTGGATCTAGGAGAAACCACCCTAAACCTGAAGGTGGTGGATTTGCTGTTGTGACAGCAACTATAGAAACTGCTGAGTGAACATGGTGGCGGAGGCAGGATTGTGGGAGGTCCTTGGCCTGTGTAGGCCTAGGTCCTGTGACCTGGTCAGATATCTCTATTAACAGTTCCAGCTTCCTTAAGGTGGGAAAACTGTTCTCTTGGTGGATAAGTGTTTCTGTTTTGTTTTGACATTTTTTTTTAATCCCTGGAAAAGTTTAAAATAAAATAGAGTTTAAAATTATATAGTCATAATGAACTAAATTGAATTAGATTATTAATACTTTTGTATTGTTTAAGACATCATTAAGATAATCTGTGTGTTTGGGGTATTTAAAGAGTTTATAACATTCAGAAGAACATTAGAGATTCATTCTACTAGTTTAAATGATTTACTAGAATCATTGGAAAAACTTACTGAAGTCAGGCATTCAAAATGCTTAAAAGCAAAATTAAGTTTATATGAATTTTAAAGTGTCTAAGGGGATTTAATTAACTACATTTATTAGTAGGATTGATTGATTAAGGAATTTAGGTCAAGTTTTAAACAATAGTGAAAGAAAAAGTGAAGGTGATTGTACTTGCTTTACTAGGCTTAAAAATAGAATAAGATTTATAGGCTGAATTTGAAGCTCCAGGAAAAACTGGGTTTTAAAATTTTATTTTAATAGCCCTAGCCTATTTGGCTCAGTGGATAGAGCATCAGCCTGCGAACTGAAAGGTCCCAGGTTCGATTCCGGTCAAGGGCATGTACCTTGGTTGCAGGCACATCCCCAGTAGGGGGTGTGCAGGAGGCGGCTGATCGATGTTTCTCTCTCATCGATGTTTCTAACTCTCTATCCCTCTCCCTTTCTCTCTGTAAAAAGTCAATAAAATATATTAAAAAAATTTTTATTTTAATAAACTAATTATTTTTAAACCCAAATAACCATAAAATAGTCTTCTCTGTGTATAAAAAGACCTCCTCACAGTCATTTTAAAGATTCACATTGAGATTTGCATGTCTGAAAGTGTATTTTAGCCTGTATGTTTGATTAATAATTGGCTGGAGGGGATAAAGTAAAAATAATTTCTACTTAAACATTTGAAGACATTGTCAGGTTTCTTCACACCCAGTGATGCTAAGTTTGATGACCATTCGTTTCTAACTGACCTGTTGGGCTTCTCTCTTCAGCTTGGGTGTTTTGAAATTTTATCATGATATCTTTGTGGTTTTTATCTTGCTCAACATTCATTGTGTCTTACTTTTTTTTAAATCCTCACATGACAATATGTTTTTTAAAAACTGATTTGAGAGAAAGAGAGAGAAACATCGACTGGTTGCCTCCCATATGTGCCCTGACCAGGGATCGAACTCCCAACCTAGTTATGTGCCCTGACCAGGAATTGAACCAGCAGCCTTCTGGTGCATGGGACAATGCTCCAACCTACTGAGCCACCTGGCCAGGGCCCGGTGCATCTTTTCAGTTTGACAACTCATGTCTCTCATGAGCTCTAGGGGATTTTTTTTTATTAAAAGACTAGAGGCCCGGTGTACAAAAATTTGTGC